TTCTTTCTTTCTTTCTTTCTTTCTTTCTTTCTTTCTTTCTTTCTCTTTCTCTTTTTCTCTCTCTCTTCCCTCTCTCTCTCTCTTCCCTCTCTCTTTCTCTCTCTCTTTCTCTCTTTCTTTCTTTCTGATGGAGGAGAGTGACTCTGTAGCTTAAGCCAAGTTTTAATCATTTCTGAATTCAGAAACAAACTTCTTGGTGGTGTAGCCTCCATATATGGGGCTATCCAGTGAGTTGTGCGTTCGATTGTTTTGCTACTTTCTTTTTTCCAGTCCCAAATAGCTTTTTTCATAAGTATTTTTAGATACATTTCCCAAAACAATTGAGTCCTCATTCTGGTTCTTTTGATTTTATTCCATTTTATTGAGAGGATATGAATATGTACAAGTTTCTGACTGATCCACCTTATTTGGTAAACATATCAGAATCTCTGACTTTTTAAAAAATGTTTTTAAGTTTCAAAGGCTTTTCCCTATAATAATGGCCTAAACCTCAATCCATATATCCTATTGTATTTCCTCTTCTTGGGTTATATTGTAGATTCTGAAATTTACTTTTGTCTTTAGCTTAGTGTTATGTACATTCTCCATTCCCCTGGATTCCTGACGGCCTCTTTTAGGTGTGCAGCCCAGGTTTCCTAGACTAGACTATGATCTTTTCCAGCTCGTGCCTCCCATGACCTGAGACTTTGAACGTACAAACTGACAAGTGTGGTGCAGGTCGCCATGCTTGCAGAGCCTCTCCTGGATGTCATTTTAGCCCCTGTGTGCCAACTTCTGATCTCCATTGCCTGACCATGGACCCATATGGCTTGCCTGGTCTTGGGAGAGGCTCACCATTAAAGTTGTTTTACACCAGGAGTTGAAAGCACAGGAAGCCTTGCTCACGTGTCTTCTACCTCGGATTCAGCTGAAGCACTTTTTCTGGGACTATTTTAAACCCTAATGAGGCCCTGATTTCACTGTTTTCTTCAAGCCCGGTGGTCTCTGTAGAGGCTGACCTGGTGACAGAGCCATCTTCTTGTATTTCCATTGTAATTAACCCCTTGGAAGAGAGAAAAAAAACAAGATTAAATATAATATGTGTCCCCTGATAATCTCAGTGTCTGGAATTCTTCTTTGTTTTCATATTCAAAGTTAGAATAAATGAATTTTGAGCCAAATGGTAAATTTAAAGACATTGAAGGAAGTATCCAGAGGGAGATTCTAAGGAGAAGATGGTTACCTGTTGGATGAGAAGAAAATTCCTTTTTCCTTCTTGTCACAAAGTATTTACACTTAGTCTTCTTTTTTTTTTTTTTTTTTTAATTTTACACTTAGTTTTTCATTTCCCCTGTATCCGTCTTTTTTTCCTGCCCTTAACGCAGGCATCCAGCCCTCATGAGCCTCTCCACTTCCTGTCTATCCCTAAATCCTCATCTTTTTGACTATAGTGAGAAGTACTCTCTATCACCAGGAAATACAGCTCTCATGCTGCTGGGCGTCTGCAGATAGAGCAGGAAAGGTGACACACTGAGAGGAAATACTCTCAACTAAGAAAGAGAGGAAACAGGTTTTTTTCCCATAAACCTCTGACCTCCTTTTTCCTCCCATCCTTGTCCGTGGAGCCAGAATGAGTGCAGTCGTGCTGCACCCTCTGTGCCTGAGGAAGCTGCCTTAGGGCCCCGGGCCAGGGAGGCACCCGCCCTCTTTCCGCAGTTCCGGGGTGAGGAATGGCCCACCCTCACAGGAAGGGGGGCTCCAGAGCTACGTGCCAGAGCTCACTGGCCAGCCCTTCTGGCTTTGCTCACTTGGGTACCGCTTCTCCAGAACTTCTGCTTGGGTCCAGGTGATGAAAGCACTAAGATCTGTGTTTGTAAGTGTAGCCGAGATCATTTCTACCTGTTTGGACACGTCCATTATTCACAGTGAGAAGATAGAGAAGTGCCCCATGTAGAAGTGTATCTGAGTCACTGTGATTTCACTTCTCCGCAGTCCCCACTCTGCTTCATCCTCTCCCCTAGGTTTTGCAGCTCCCGTGTGCTGTGTTGTAGTGTGTGTTTGTCTTACAGGAATAGAGCCGGGAAGCTTGTACTGTTTGCGTTCTGCATGTTGCCTGAGGACTCTAAGGAGGACTTGTTTTGGTTTTGATCAGGTGAACAGCTGCTCTGTGAAGCCAGCACAGTACTGAAGTGTGTCCAGGAAGACTCCTGTCAGCGTGGAATCTATGGGAGGCTTGTCTGCACAGACTTCAAGATTGCTTTCTTGGGCGATGACGAATCTGCATTGGATAATGATGTATGTGTGAGCTGCGCTTGGTTGAGTTTGTGGGAGCACTGCATGGTGGCCCCATTGTCTTTTCTCCCAGCTTCTCAATAACTCGCCCCTAACGCACGTAAACACAAAGGCCAGAGTCTTTCTCACCACTAGTCTGCTCTCTCTCCTTTGGGATCTCCTTTCGGCGGGAGGACCACCCTGCAGTTTCCCACCAGTGCCTCACGTCACGCTGGCTTGCGTTTGACCTCGTAGGTTGACGCCGTCAGCTTTTAATTTTCTTCTGTATTTCAGCACAGTACCTATCACTCATGGGAATCACATCTCCCCAAATATACTAGTTCCCCATGTTTTCTCTATACTGAACTCTTCCTCAAATTCAGGAACTGAATTCAGTTATGACACTGGTGCTGAATGCAGCACTGAGTTTGGGTTTACTTCGTGTTTGCTCTGTGCTTGTAAGACTTGTCCTCCTTAGGAAGAGTGAGCAGTGGAGTGAGGAGGGAACACCCGCACCCCTCAGGGTGCGCTGGTGGTAATGGGAACCGGCTGGCCCGGCCACGCCAGCACCCTGCCACCTGACAGCGTGGGCTTCTGTGCAGCTGTTGCTGTAGCAGCCTGGTTCCTAGTCCTGTACAGAGGCAGCATTTACAGAGCTTGAATCTCATGGGGTTTTCTTCCTGCCTTCTTGTAGCTCTGTCACTCACCTGTCTACATTTGTGTGGAGAAATCTGAACCTATGCGCCACCTGCCAGCATCTCTCAGGGTGTTGTGCATGCGGCCTGGTGGGTTGGCCTGGGAGCAGCCGGCAATGGCATGTCCTGCCTGGGTTTGAAAACAAGTGTTGCGCAGCATTTCTCACACACTTCACTCCATCGTCCCTTTCCTAGGGATGTGACTACATTTCCTTGTTTGTTTGTGTAGGATGTATACCTTTTCATTTATTTTTTCTAGCTTTACTGAGATATAATTGACATTTAACGTTGTATTAGTTTAAGATGTACAACGTGATGAATTTGGTGTATGTAAATATTGTGAAATGATCATCACAATATGTTTAGTTAACATCCATCACATCACATAGTTAAACAATTTTTTTCTTGTGATGAGAACTTCTAAGATCTACCCTCTTAGCAACTTTCAAATGTACAATGCAGTATTATTAACTCTAGTCACCATGCTGTACATTACATCTCCAGGACTTGTTTTATAATTGAATTTGTACCTTTTGACCACCTTCACCCATTTCCCCCACCCACTCCCCATTTTTCTTTATATGCACGTGGAGGATGGTGATTTGCTTTACCTGTAAATGTCACGGTGCATAGCAAGGAATCACAGTTGTTTCCTTTTGAATTTTTTAGGAAACGCAGTTTAAGAATAAGGTTATAGGAGAAAATGACATTACCCTCCACTGTGTTGATCAGATTTATGGAGGTGAGTATGTTTTCCCCTGGGGTGTTGCCAGCCTTTGAAAGTATAGCTGATAATGATGAGGTGTTTTTTTTTTTTTTTTGGTCCTTTATAGTTTACTGAAACTTCTTCACATATTTATCTTATTTAAATCAGTTTTATGGATGATAAAATTGAGATGCGAAGTGGCTTATTTGGGGTCGCTTAGCTGGAGGAGCTTGGACTTGAACATGGAACCTGTTCTTTCTAATACTCCACCGTGCTATTACATGATAGATATTGATCATATGTCAATGTTAGCTGTGCAGATCTCACTTTAAAGGCTCACCTGATAAAGGTCTGTCATACCACACTCGGGTGTCTTTTCTTCTGACTAAACAAAGCCTCTCTGGGCTCCACTTCTCTGTTTTTGTAGTCAGGGCTTTGTCAGAAATCATTCAGTAGCCATTTATGGTGTTCCCAGCACCAAGAGGTGCTGCGTGGTGCAAACTCTGGGAAAGGGAGGAGGGTGTCAGGAGGGGCCCTAGCTATAAACCTGGGAGTTGACTGTCCCAAAAGCAGATCCCTAGTGATCTCCCATCTTTCGTAATCTCAGCTTTCAGAGCTGGGTTTTCTGCAGGAGTCAGTTCTGCCAACAGTGGCCAGTCCATTTGGGTCTGTGCTTCCTGGGGAGGAGTGAGGAACCCTGGCTGTTCCAGAGAACAGGGCCCCTGCTGGATGGGACTGGGCCCTGCTGACAGTTACTTAGAAGCTGGTGCCTTTCCTCTCACTTTTGAGAGGCGCCCTTGGAAGTTAATAGTCTACCTTGTTTCTTTAGCATTTAATTGTTGTCTTATAACATGATTTCCCTTCTTGATTTCATTGTTGATGTGTAGTGTTTGATGAGAAAAAAAAGACTCTCTTTGGACAGCTGAAGAAATACCCTGAGAAACTCATCATCCACTGCAAAGACCTCCGGGTATTCCACTTTTGTCTGAGGTACACAAAAGAAGAGGAAGTCAAAAGGGTAACTAGTCGCATGTGTTTTTAGGTTTTATTTCCCATCAGGTTTTCCCCACTTCAGTTCTTGCTTCCATTGCACGAAGGTTGAGGGGAGCCTTTCATTCTGTAAAGTTGACATTGGTTATACTCGCATGTGCTTTGATTAGAATTGAGACAGAATTTGGTAGAGCAGGACTATATTATCTTGGCACATGGCTGCGTTTAATCCTTCAGTTCATAATGTGTTCATTCCCAGAGCCTGCAGAGGGTGGGAGGTGGTAAACCAGGATCAGAAGGCCGTCAGGGGAAGGGGAGGATGGAGCAGCTAGAAGCAACCCCCTTTCCCCACCTCTGACAGCCTTTCCAGAAGGCAGCAGCAGTGACCCCCAGCTCCCGGCATGAAGGAGTGGACATCTGGGAGGTCGTGGTTACGTGTGGAAGGAGGGGGAGGTACACGGTCATGGGCAAAGTGAGTCACCAAATGAGCCTGTGCTTTTGGTCCCTTACTTAATCAGGTTGCTGCAGCAAATTGAGACGTGTAACTGGGCAAACTGGTCACAATGGTTATTGTAGCTTCCAAGATTTCTCTTAAGGTATTGAAGGTCTCAGACTTGCCACTGTCATGGTAGATACATCAGGGGGAAATCTAGGGAGAGACCAGTTTATCTGTTGTCTTTGGCTGCAGTGAGTTAAGCCTTCTTTTCAGGTGTACTCTTAGTTTTCTTTCAGGTAGTGTGGTAGATCAGTTAGAATAATAAACATGACTCCAGTATCTGTTCTGAGCAGGAAAAAGAGTGGTGTAGACTTGGAAATTCCCTGAGAAGCCAGAAACTTTATTTTGAATGATGATTTTAGTCATCTATCCGAACATACTTTTGTTTGGAACTTCAAACAAAAAGCATGAGGGATTGATTGCCTTATCTTCTAGAAGAAGATCCTTAAGGCCACAACAAGTAGAACAGAATAGCTAAGCATCTTGGTTATTATCTGGTCAGCTATATATCTTTGACATGTCAGATTTTTGGAGTATCTGAAAATGGGACTTAAGTTTTTTTAGTGCTTTGTTTTTGAGAAATTAGACTGTGTTTTAAAAATTGCCCTAGAAACTCAAAGCTCTTGAAAACCTGACAAAATGGTTAGCGTTCTGTTTACTTGGCATTATTTCAAGAGATCACATCACAGATACAGACCTCAATGAGAGTTTGTTAGCATGCTGCTCATCGGAGCCCATTAGCATTACGGAGACCTAGACAACTTGGATCTTGTCTCTCAGTGTTTATCTGCCAAAAGCATGACTGTATCCATCGCTTGGTTCTTTTCCAGATTGTCAGTGGCATAATCCATCATACCCAGGCCCCTAAACTGCTGAAACGATTGTTTCTGTTTTCCTACGCGACTGCAGCACAAAACCACACAGGTAAGCTTTCATCCGCAGGTAGGCAGGCCCCTTCCAGTTCCTACCTGCAACTTCTGGGAGAAAACCCATCCATGGGTTTTGTTCCCCTCTTCTCGAGCAGTGGGTCGCCTCTTGCTTGGGTGAGTCATTCAGATTTCTTTTAAAAAAAGGTTTCTATTTCTTTCCTGTGACCTTTGTTTCTTTAACTTATCTTTTAGGTTTGTTTGCTTTTTGTGAGGGATTATTTGTTTGTTGCTTATGAAAGAAAATCAATATATTATGATTGGGAATGTGAGGCTATAGAGAAGCAAAACTGAGACAAGTTTAAAATCACTCTGTCTGCCCCTGGATTCTGTTTTTCACTTTAATACACTTGGTTTCATTTCATGAGACCCTAAAAAATGTCTTGCATTCTAGAAAGTTTTTAAACAACCAGAACATGCCTTATAGCAAATGTTTGGGGGATGGGGAATGGAACAGTTGTACCTAAGAGAGCACATCAGAAAAGTAGTTTGGTTAGAAAACTTAAAATTCCAAATGTTTTCCATTCGATTCCCTGAAAAAGAGAGCAGTCTTTTAAGTAAGAAACTGTGGTCATCTGAATTAGCTATTAATAATGCCTAGCTTTGTACAGTGTTTCCACAGATGTCTGTCTTCTTCCTTCTCTGGATCTCTCCTCCTCCATCTGTCCACTTGCTCTGTCCATTCCTCTTTTTTTTAATTCCAAATTATTAACAGTATTTTTATTTTTTCTTCCCGTTTTATTGAGATATAATTGACACATTACTGTATAAGTGTAAGGTGTACAGCATAATAATTCCATTCACATACATCTTGAAATGATGGCCACAGTAAGTTTAGTGAACATCCATCATCTCATATAAATATAATATTAAAGAAATAGAAAAAATTTTTTTCCTTGTGATGAGAACTCTTAGGATTTACTCTAACAGCTTTTGTGTATAACGTACAACAGTGTTAATTATATTTATCATGTTGTGCATTACCTTCCTATCTGCCCATTACTCTTAACGTGAAGTTGATGTTTACTGATCCTGAGTGCCATGTGCCTTTCATCGGGGAGGTGGCGTGTTAGTTTAACTGCATGTATCATGCTTTCTGGAATGCAGAGTAGCTTTGTCACTAACTGCTCATTTGGTAAATGTTTATCGAACGCTTGCTGTGGGTCACACACCCTGGGGATATGAACAGGACTAAATCCCTGCCCTCTAAGAGCTTTAAGTCAAACAGAGTGATGTGTCCTGTGGTGGGAGGGAACGACCACGCTGGGGGAGGGAGGGCTGTCAGAGGGCGAAGGCTGGTCCTGAACTGCTGGTGAAGGATGTGGAGTGGCCGGTAGGCAGACAGGAGTATTTGAGGCAGCAGGACTGGCGTGTGCAGAGATGCAGATATCTGAGAGAGTAGCTTGCATTTGGGGGACTATGGTGGTCTAGTAGAAAAGGTGTGAATTTCCAGGTCTGTCCCACCTGAGTTCAAATCCTCGTCCAGCTGCCTAGTAGCTGTGTGATCCTGGGGATGGCACTTAACTCTTGGGCCTCTGTTTTCTCATTTCAAAAAATAGTGTTGTTAATGCTTCCCTTGAAGTGTTGTGAAAATTACAAATTGTTAAATGCATGGCACACAGGGCGCAGTCATTAAATGAGGGTTAATTGAGAGTGTAACTGCTTACTCAGGACAGATTATGCTCAGAGAGCTCCACTGACGTAAAATATACTTAGCACTACTATCAGGCCAACACAAAATTTGTTCCTTAATTCAGTAAGTTCATCTTTGTGAATGATCTTTTCACTGTAGCCATATGTATAAGTGCTGATTAGCTGGGTGCTGGCTGACAACAGCTTGTTACAATATGAGATACACAAAATATGACTTCTTTGTTGATTGCTATAATTTACATAAACATTTATTGGGTCTACATTTGAAAATCATACTGTATTTTTAGGAATTCTGCCACTTCCTTATATCCTGATGCTTGGTCTGGACCCAGCACAGGACGGTTTCTCGGCTTCCCAGCATGTGTTGATCTGTGTGCCGAAACCCTTACCTTGGCTGACCCTGGCAGTAAGATCCCACATGCTGCGGGGCAACTAAGCCCGCGCGCCACAACTACTGAGCTCAGTACCTTGTGGTGGCTTTTTGTGCCAGAAAGCCCAGGATATATAGCATCTTCTATTCTATCTGAATTCTAGCCTTCTTTTCTCCTTCCACCCTCCATTTTTTTTGATGAGTAAAGGTTATAACTGATAGATGCGAGTTGATCAATTTGCTTTTTGATTGAGTAGGGGTTTCTAGAGGTGGGTGCCAGTCTGAACATCTTTCATTTTACTCAGGCTTAATAATTCACAAATGTACTTTGGCTAAAAGGTCCTAGGAGTATTGTTACTACTTATGTCCATGGGGGAATTTATTAATATTTGCATTTATTACTTTATGGAAATTTACTGCTGCCTGGGTTTGAATTGCATTTCTGCCATTGCCTAGCTCTGTGACCTTGGGCAAGTTAATTGGCCTTTCTGTGCCATATCTGTAAAATGGAGGAAATAATATTACCTACCCTGTAGGGTTGTGAGGATTGAGTTATTATATGTAATATGCTCAGGATAGTGCCTGGTGTACTAAGTGCTATGTAAGCTTAACTGTTGTTGTTGTTGTTGTTTTGCGGTACGCGGGCCTCTCACTGTTGTGGCCTCTCCGGTTGCGGAGCACAGGCTCCAGATGCACAGGCTCAGTGGCCATGGCTCACGGGCCCAGCCGCTCCGCGGCACGTGGGATCTTCCCGGACTGGGGCACGAACCCGCGTCTTCTGCATCGGCAGGCGGGCTCTCAACCACTGCGCCACCAGGGAAGCCCCTTAACTGTTGTTTTTTAATCATTATTTGTCTTATCATCCTTTGTACTATGATCTGTTTGTATTAAAAGGATTAGGTGGGAGTTTTATTAAACACTTTGTTTTTCCAGGAAGACTTGATTTTTTTTTTGATATTTTTGTTTATTTTAAAAATTTGTTTATTTTTTTGGCTGTGTCGGGTCTTCATGGCGGCACACGGGCTTCTCTCTAGTTGTGGCACGCAGGTTTTCTCTCTCTAGTTGTGGCACGCAGGCTCCAGAGCGTGTGGGCTCTGTAGTTTGTGGCACGTGGCCTCTCTCGTTGAGGCGTGCGAGCTCAGTAGTTGTGGCGCGCAGGCTTAGTTGCCCTGTGGCATGTGGGATCTTAGTTTCCCGACCAGGGATCAAACCCATGTCCCCTGCATTGGAAAGTGGATTCTTTACCACTGGACCACCAGGGAGGTCCCAAGGCTTGTTTTTTTAAGATGTGCACAGGCTTGAATGAACTGATTTGTGTAAATACCCAGGGGTTGGGCTTCCCTGGTGGCGCAGTGGTTGAGAGTCCGTCTGCCGATGCAGGGGACACGGGTTCGTGCCCCGGTCCGGGAGGATCCCACATGCCGCGGAGCGGCTGGGCCCATGAGCCATGGCCGCTGAGCCTGCGCGTCCGGAGCCTGTGCTCCGCAACCGGAGAGGCCACAACGCTGAGAGGCCCGTGTACCACAAAAAAAAAAAAAAAATACCCAAGCGTGTTTGGCACCCGTCACCCCCATCAAGCTGTTCTGTGGCTTGGGAGAGGACCAAGGACACACCTGCTGGGCTGCAAGAGTAGTGCTCCTGGGCACTTCCTCCTAGCAGGTAGCGGCAAGGTTAGGGACAGAAGTCCCCGTCACTGTGATGTGGCCCTTGGCTTGCAGGCCCTGACCTTCACCATAGCTGTCTGATTTGTTTCTAGCCCTCAGAAACCAGGTGTCACACTGAAAACGCCTCTTTGGGCAGTGCATCTTCACACTGAAGGAGGCTTCACACTCAGCAATCTGGCATGCTGTTCAAATGAGTTTGCCATCTTACGCACACATTGGTAGGGCTAAAAATATTTTATTATTTTAGCATTTGTGCCAAGCCTGTCTTTTAGTGCTGCACAGGATCTTTTTATGTTATATAAATTATCTCATGGTCAGATGACTGAAAATGGAGCTATAAATTACTTTTGCACGGAATGGAACAAGAACAGCTGCTTTCGCCCAGCACAAAAGACAGAGCCTCACTCATAATTTTGGATGAATGACAGAAAAAAGGAACAAGGTTAGGATGAAGCAGTGAGTTCATTCTGTGGGGATAAAAGTGGGCTTAGTGGAGGAAGTTGGGGCCCGAGGAGCCACTTTCACAGCATTAAAATGCCAGGGCTTCCCGACAAGATTTTACTGTCTTTCTCAATTTGTTTTGTTAGCTACTGACGCCAAGAACCATGCCGTAATGTTTGACACACTTCAGGACTGGTGTTGGGAGCTGGAGCGGACCAAAGGCAACATGAAGTACAAAGCAGTGAGTGTCAATGAAGGCTATAAAGTCTGTGAAAGGTAAGCTCTCAGTGTTGTGCTTTGCTTTTTGAACAGCTTTGTTGAGATTTAATTCACATGCCATACAATTCACCTGTTTGAAGTGTGCAGTGTTTTTTAGCACATACACAGGGTTGTGCAACCATCACTGCGGTCAATTTTAGAATATCTTCGTCATCCCCCAAATAACCCCTTACCCCTTAGTAGTCACTCCCCATTCCCCCGCTCCCCACTGCCCCAGCCCTAGACAGCCACTAACTACTTTCTGTCTCTATAGATTTGCCTATTCTTGGCATTTCACATAAATGGAACCATATAATACGTGGTCTTTGTGCCTGGCTTTGTTCACTTAACATAATGTTGTCAAGGCTCATCCATGTTTAGCATGTATCAGGATTTCATTGTTTTATTACTGCTGAATAATATCCCAGGATATGGGTATACCATATTTTATTTATCCATTCATCAGTTGATGGACACTGGCTTCTTTTCACGTTTTGGCGACTATGAATATGCTGCTACAAACATTAGTATACAAGGTTTCATATGGACATGTATTTTCAGTTCTCTTGGGTATATTCCTAGGGGTGGAATTGGTGGGTCATATAGTAACTCTGCGTTTAACCTTTTGAGGAACTGTCAGACTGTTTTCCATAGCCACTGAACCATTTTTACACTCCCGTCAGCAACGTTATGAGGGTTCCACTTTCTCCACATTGATACTGTGCTTTTTTAAGAAACCCTTAAAGTATCCCTTAAAACATTCAGAAGTGAATGTCTTTTCCTTCCCATTATTATATCTGTATTCTAAATGTATAACTTTTAGAGGCATTTCTGAATTTATATCATATTTGCTTTCCTTTTATCAAGCGTTTTATTTATTCATTCAATAAACATTTTTTTAATGTAAATTTATTTATTTATTTTTGGCCGCATTGGGTCCTCGTTGCTATGCACGGGCCCCCTCTAGTTGCGGTGAGCGGGGGCCACTCTTTGTCACGGTGCGCAGGCTTCTCATTGCAGTGGCTTCTCTTGTTGTGGAGCACGGGCTCTAGGCGCACGGGCTCAGTAGTTGTGGCACGTGGGCTCAGTAGTTGTGGCTCACGGGCTCCAGAGCACAGGCTCAGCAGTTGTGGCGCACAGGCTTAGTTGCTCCACGGCAGGTGGGATCTTCCTGGACCAGGGCTCGAATCCGTGTCCCCTGCTTTGGCAGGCAGATTCCTAACCACTGCGCCACCAGGGAAGTCCCTCAATAAACATTTCTGAGGGTCTCCTATGTGCCTGACAGTGTCCTGGCTACTGAAGATAGAGCCTAAAAATCCCTGCCCTCATGGAGCTTTTGTTCTAGAGGAGGAAAATGATGATAGAATAAGTGAGTAATTATAGTGTATTAAGAGGTAATAAGTGCTATGGAGAAAAATAGATCAAGCCAGGGACTGGGGCGTGCTGGAGATGTTGGCAGGAGGGTTGGTCAGGCAGAGGGAACAGCAGGTGCAAAGGCCCTGAGGTGGAATCTTGTCTGGCTTGTGTGAGGAACAGCGAGGAGCCCAGGGGTTGGAGAGGAGTGAGCAGGGGACAGAGCAGTAGGAGGTGTGATCAGGGAGGAGAGGGCCGGCTGGGTGCTGATGGGCAGGGAGGGTTTCAGAATTTATAGTGCAGTGTGGAGGAGTTTGAGCAGAGGCGTGATGTGATCTCACCTACATTTTTAAAGGATGACTCTGTTGTAATCCTTTTTTTGAAACTTGAATCTTACTGTTTTGGAACATAATCCTCAACACCCTGCTGACAGTTTCAAAAAATTAGTATTTTCCTAGAGCATTTTGTACTTACGGTTCCGAGGGGCCTTTTCAGTAGATCAGTTTTTTTGGGTTTTTTTGTTTTTTTTTGCGGTACGCGGCCCTCTCACTGTTGCGGCCTCTCCCGTCGCGGAGCACAGGCTCTGGATGCACAGGCCCAGTGGCCATGGCTCACGGGCTCAGCCGCTCCGCGGCATGTGGGATCTTCCCGGACCGGGGCACGAACCCATGTCCCCTGCGTCGGCAGGCGGACTCTCAACCACTGCGCCACCAGGGAAGCCCCAGTAGATCAGTTTTGATTTTGATCAGTCTCAGGCACTTATAAGGTTAGCCCTCTCGTTACAGCACAAACTAGGGTGACAGTGGGGAGGGGCCTGCAGGGCAGGTGTCGGATCACACCCCCCATGCCCACGCTGCCCCTCCTCCCCCTTTATAGTCACAAAGCTTGGAAAGGGAGAACAAGCGCTCAGTCAGGAGGAGGTCAGAAAGCCCTGCTCCTAGGAGGTGATATTTTGTAATGTGATGTTGACACTGATAGCAGGCATGCCCATTCCCAGGATCCTGCCACATACTGATTAAATTCATTGGTATTTGCATAGGTGTCAGCACATCAGAAATATACCAGGTAGAGAAGGTGGGTGGAGTGGGGTGTCAGGGGGTTCTAATTAGTGGTCGGGGGGAGAACGGAGCCTCAGCGAGATTTTGCTGCTCAGAGCACTCGGTGCAGACTCAGTCCCCCTGGACTGCCCCAGCCATGCACTCGCCCCTGCGCTTCTGTCCCACAGGGATGATACAGGAAAAGCTGTGCTTTGTTTCTTACCTGGCACTGTGGTAGCTGCCTGCATGGTCTCCCCCACCCACTCTGGCCCGCGGCATCCATTCTTCCCCTGTTTCATTGGCTCCTTGCTGTTCATGGTAGAGAGGATAAAACTTCTAACAGGCCCTTCATGGCTTGCCTCATGCCTAACTCGCCAGCTTTGCGTGTACCCCTCCAGCCACCCTGAGTCCCTCCTGTGGGCCTTGCCTGTGCGGTCTGTCTAGGATGCTCCTTTTGCGTCCAGCTTTACTAGTGAGTTACCTCCACTTCATCGGTCAGATCTCTGCCCAGGTGTCTCTTTTAGGGAGTCTTCCCAAGACTAGATGAGGTCTCCCGTGAGAGCTTTCATTGCACTGTGTGCCTCTCTCCTTAGCACCTCTTCCGATCGTGAGTTTATTCTTATCTGTATCACCATTTGGTTAATGTTTGTTTCTGCAGCCCATCAGTCCTGGGGAATCAAGGACACTGTTTTGGTTCATCTTTATATCCTCAGTACCAAGTATAGTGCCTGACTTATAAGACCCACTCAATAAATTGGGAACAGTGAATAAATTAATGAAAGCCCCAGTGGTAAGAGAAGACCTCGGCCAGTTTGGATAAGAATAAGAAACTGAGTGTCTACTTTGCCTTCTCCTGAAAAGGCTTTCTTCATGCCACCTCCCTGTGAAGGTATAAGAAGGTCCTCAGCCCTGTCGGGACTGTGTAACACAGGGGAACCTAGGAATTGATGCAGCCACAGGAAGACACTGCTGCTCTGGTGGTGTCGCTCTGGGGGTTCCCTCACCCTAACTGAGGTGGCGCCTAAGAGGATCATACAACCTTCCTTGAATAAGGTCAGCTTATATGTGGAGAGGCTGTTTACTTTGTATTCAAAACTCCTCCTGGTGACTAAAATGAGTGCTGTCCCAGGTGGGAGGGTCGGTTGCTTGTAGACATCGGGAGTCTCCCAGCAGAGCCTCCGTAGAACCACCTTGAGTTCACTGGGACAGGAGGGGACATCACAAACCTCCCCACTGGTGCAGAGCTGTCCCTCTCTTTGCAGCCTGCTTTCTTCAGTGACTGCATGGTACACACGCTAGTACACTGGGTTCTGACATTTTTTTCCCCGTTGGTGAAAGACTGTTCATAAGGCACAATTAACTTGTGAAATGTTCAACCACACTAGTAGAGGAAGTCATGGAAATTTTTTAAAGCAGTGTGGCCCCATCCCAACTTTGTCGAATGAGCCTCTGGGGAAGGAGCTGAGAATCTGGTTTACACAAAGCCCACGGGCGACTTCTCCTGTGAGGGCTGGGAAACACTTGTCTGTTTGTAAGTTGCCATCTAAGGCGCTGCTTCTCATGGTTGACTGTGCAGCCCAGTCCCCTGGGGAGCTTGTGAAAGTGCAGATTCTGCTCCTGTAGGCCGGGGCTGCTCTCCTTCTAAGTGTCCCGGTAATGCTGCTGTACACTTTGACTAGCAGGACCTTCTAGAACAACAGCTGTCATCCTGATTACACACCTGGAGAGCTTTGACACCTCTGATATTTCATAGTTCTGCGGTGGAGCCTGGACACTGGGAATTTTTAAATCTTCCTGTGTGATTTTAACAGGCAGCCTGAGTTTGAGAGTCATTGATCTGTGAAGAGGTTTTTGCTTCAGTGACAGCACCTGAAGAAGGGATAGTAAGCCCACCCACTCAAGCGGACGTGAAAGAAAATATTCCAAGCACTTCGGAACCTCTAAAGCCAAATAATTCTTCTACGTTTTAATGGTCTGAGGTATCTTAGCCTTGACCAGTTGTTCCCAAACCTGGTTTTACGTCACAATATTATGGGAGCTTTGTTCCTTTTAATTACCTTTAAGATTTTTTTTTAAGTGGAAAATTTCAAGCAGTATAAAAGAAAAGAGAATTTGATGAATTCCTTTAACCCGTCACCCAGCTTCAACAGTTACTAACTCATGGCTAGTCTCTGTGCCTCTACCTACTCCAACCCTCCCCCTCCCCCGTCCTGCTCAACTATTTTGAAATAAATCCTAGAGCTCATCACATTTCATTCATAAATATTTAAGTTTTACATCTCTAAGAATGAAGGACTCTTTTTATAATCATAAAAGCATTATCACACCTTTCACATTTAACATTTGATTCCTTAATATCACTCAGTACCCAGTCAAGTGTTGAGATTTTTCCCATTGTTTTATAAATTCTCAAAACAATTTATTTTTCATCGTTTTATCTGTTTTATCATTAATCAAGATTCAGTGAGGGACTTCCCTGATGGCTCAGTGGTTAAGAATCCACCTGCCAATGCAGGGGACACGAGTTCAATCCTGGTCTGGAAAGGTCCCACATGTCGTGGAGCAACTAAGCCCATGTGCCACAACTGCTGAGCCTGTACTCTAGAGCCCGCGAGCCACAACTACTGAGCCCGTGCGCTGTAACTACTGAAGCCCACGTGCTCTAGGGCCCATGTGCCGCAGCTACTGAAGCCTGCATGCCTAGAGCCTGTGCTCCACAACTAGAGAAGCCACCACAATAAGAAGCCTGCCCACTGCAACGAAGAGTACCCCTTGCTCGCCACAAGTAGAGAAAGCCCATGTGCAGCAACGAAGACCCAACGCAGCCAAAAAAAAAAAGATTCGATGATATTGATATCTTGAAAACTGATAGGTTTCTTAAACTTCTTAATCTATAGAGGCTCACACTATTAGCTTTTTCTTGCAGTTTATTTGAAGAAACCAGGCCACTTGACTGATAGTTTCCTACAGTCTGGATTTTGATGAGTACATTGCCATGGTGATTTTATTCATGAGGAAACAGACCCAGAGAGGTGGGGCAACTTACCTAGGGTTACACAGAATCAGAGGCAGAGCTAGGATTTAGATTCCTGATTGATTTCGACAGAGACGGTTCATCTGCACTGGTTTTTCTTAAGAGGGAAATGTGGTCCATGTCATGACACTCTGCTTAACTTCCTGTGTTCATTGACGTTGAGCTTTCATATTTAATGAATTAACTCCAGCACTAAAACCGATGACATCTCTTTCTTCTAGGTTGCCAGCATACTTTGTTGTCCCCACCCCTCTTCCTGAGGAGGACGTGCCACGCTTCCATGGTCATGGCATACCAGTAAGTGCATCTGGAAGCCCTAAATGCATGGCTTGCTCATTGGCCCATCCTGGCAGGTTATCCTACTTAAAGCCCTTGGCTTTGGTATTAAAGAGTTTGTCCTCAGTCCAAGAGCAATCTAAAAATATCTTAGGGACTCCCTAGAGGAGCCTCTTTGATAATGAGGTTCCTGGGGTCAGAGTTCTAAAGTTTTCACAGATGCACTGGAGTTCTTAGCAGAGACATCTTTAAAGAGCTTTTGGGGGATTACAGGCCAGTCTGGTGTTGAAAGCCAGCCTAATTTAACACCTAAATTGTTTTGAGGCTGAGCCGACCCCGTAAGGGTAGTAGAGTTTAAGGTTCCTCTTGGCCCACACCATTAATCTTGAATGGGCATGGCCGAGTTTCCTCCCAGAGACAACATGCAGAGCTTGCTTAGTTTTCACAGAATAGACTGGGATGGGAGCCATATTTAGTGTGTCACTGATCAGAGAAAGCAAGACCCTGGCAGTTATTCCAGTTTCTGATTGGCAGTTGGGAGTTGCCAAGCCTGCAGGGAATTGAGTACAGAATGAGAATTACAGACAAATGCTGTGCTATGCACATGGCTGGTTCACCAAAAAGGTCACTCCTGTAATGGGAGGTGACATGTCTAAGCAGGGGTCACATGCCCAGAAGTGTATGCAGGCCAGGTGGGTAATGAGTGTGGTCTTTGCAATGAAGCAGAGACCCTCTGCCTGGATGAAGGGCTGGCTGCTCTTCTCTGCCGGCCCGTTTGTGCCATGTGGGAATACGGGCCTGGTCTTGCCAGATGTCCAGACCTCTCAGGAGAAATCAGAGACATGGATTTTTATGTGAGTTTTCCCGATCTCTAAATGTGTGCAGCTGTTCACAACTGATTCAGATGTTTAAAAAGCATGTCTTTGGGCCAGAGTTGGTTCACGTGCCACCAGTATGCCACCTTTGATTTAGAGCAGTGGTTCTCAAACTTTCTGGTCTCAGGACTCTTTACACTCTTAAAAAGCATTGAGGGTCTCAAAGAGTTTTTGTTTATGTGGTTGTATCTGTTGCTATTTGCCATATTAGAAATTAAAACTGAAAAACTGCTTAATGTTTATTTTAGTAAACTCATTACATGTTAACATAAAAATTTCTGTGAAAAATAACTATATTGTCCAAAACAAAAAAATAGAATAGTACTGTTTTACATTTTTGAAAATAGAAGACAGCTACATTCTCACATCTTCTCACTTCCTTCAGTCTGTTGTGGTATATTAGGGTGTGGTTGAAGTACATGAAGAAAATCCAGCCTCACACGGATGTGTATTTGGGAAAGGGAGGAGTATTTAATAGCCTTTTCAGAGAATATGAAAATATTATTCTTTGACAGTATAACGAAAAATTGCTAAGTGGTGGTTTCATAAAGATTAATTGCAATAAGGAAACTGAAAACATAGTCAATGAACTTTTCATTCACTGCTAAATTAAAATCCATTGGTCTGTCTTGTACTTTGAATGGGTCTTAAAACATGCATGATTTAAAAACATAATACATTGGTCGTTTAGAAAGTATTAGCTCACTAGGTTATACAGGTCATACAAATTTTTTTTAAAAAATAAATTTATTTATTTTTATTTTTGGCTGCGTTGGGTCTTCGTTGCTGCACGCGGGCTTTCTCTAGTTGCGGTGAGCGGGGGCTACTCTTTGTTACAGCGCGCAGGCTTCTCATTGCAGTGGCTTCTCTTGTTGCTGAGCACGGGCTCTAGGCGCACGGGCTTCAGTAGTTGTGGTACGTGGGCTCAGTTGTTGTGGCTCACGGGCTCTAGAGCACAGGCTCAGTAGTTGTGGCACACGGGCTTAGTTGCTCCGCGGCATGTGGGATCTTCCCGGACCAGGGCTCGAACCCATGTCCCCTGCATTGGCAGGCAGATTCTTAACCACTGCGCCACCAGGGAAGTCCCAGGTCATCCAAATATTGACATGCTTTCTTAGATAAAAATCACGTTTGTTAATATCATCCCTGTCTCATCAGGAAAGTCTTTAAATATTGGGAATTTGTCCAGCTAAAAAGGCAGAGACTAGTTTTACAAAGTTCTAATTTTTGCTTGAAAGTTCAACTTTTATCATTGGCAACAAATTGTCAGTTGTTTTCCTTAAGGGGATAGGCTCACTTCATTCTTGTTTTTTGTTTTTTTTTTTCCTAAAGAATGAATGTGCCAGATACCAAAGTCTGAACACCCGTAGTTTGTCTGTCATTCACTCTTTCAGTTACAAGAATACAGCAGGTAGCTCAGCTCTCGAGTCAGTCTCATAGGTGCTTTTCCCTGAGACAAACACTTCCATGCTTTGTTTCCACTCCATCACACAGAATATAAAAAATATTAGTATTAAATATTAAATGTAATGATCAAGATTAATATAATTCATAATGTTTAGTTCTTCATTATGGACATTCTGAAGTGAAACAATTATTTTTCTTCAAGTTTGTGGCAGTGAAGAATACAGTGGCGACCAGTGCTGTTGGTAGCAATACCTTGGTTGGTACCAAGGCACCAGCAGTTGTAACACTATCAGTGCCAATGTCAACACAGTGAAAAAGACAAATTATATCTTAGTAATATTCTCAGACCACCTGTAAGGGAGGGTCTTGGGATCTGTAGACAACATTTTGAGAATGTTTTAGAAGAATAAACATGAGGGTCTTCATCCGTCAACCTTTCATAGATGACTCTAGGAGAAGGGGTATGCTCTGTGGGAAGAAACCAAGATGAATTGTCTACACACTTGGGAATAGGCTGCTTCTCCATCCAGCATTATATGAAATTTCACTACTCTCTGTTCTAGCCAGGCCTTGGGGCTGAGAAGTAGAAACTGTCCTGAGAAGACCTGTCCTGAGGAGTCAGCAACAGAACTTTGATAGAAACTGTAGGAAGGCATTCTCATTTTATTAGATCAGCCTTAATGATGTGTCCTGAAAGTCATAGTGGAGCTTGTGATGCATGGACAGTGGAAAAATATTACACAAAATGGAGTTTACACATTCACTCAGGGAGCACAGCTCTCAATACACATCACGTAAAATTTACCACTGGTGACAGTGAATATGTTCACAATGTTGTACAGCCGTTATCGCTAGTCTGAGAACATTTCCGTATCTCTGCTTTTTCACCCTGACTTTTCATCTAGTCTGGTCTTTCCTGCCTCCACTTAACTCCTGTTCGGGGAAGACCTGCATCATTTGTGATTTCAGTCATGCCCTTGCTGCCATTCTAGAGACTGTGGCCTCCTGGACCCTCTGCTGTACTCCAGTCCTGAGTATTTATGCTTTTGCTGCGGGGCTAGTGAACATTGCTACAGATTGTTCAGACCAAACAGCAGAGCGTTTTAATGGGATACGTGAAAACTGTTACCTTGCTTCACTTGGGCCCCTGTTCTGCTCAGCAGCCTGTCAGTGACTCCCTCTGGTTCCAGTGTCGTTCTTCCCTGGGGCCAGGGTAGCCATTTTTTCATTCTCTTTAAGTTGGCGATCCCACCCTTAACTCTCTTACTGTCATCGACCACCTTTCCCTTAGTCCCGAGGGGTCTTGGAGAGCGAGCGACAAGACCTCCCTCCTCCTCCTGTGGTCTCTCTGTGCTGCTTCATCTCCGACCCAGACCTCTGCCCAGGCTCTCGATCTCCTCTGCCCTGGATTTGTCTTCCGTTGCTCTGCCCCTTCCGCGTGTATCTCCAGAGATTCTGCTCTCTTGAAGGCATTCTCAAGTCTCCCTCACCTGAAGAAGCCCTTCCTTAACAGTTGAGCGCGGGCTTGTTCTCCTTGCCTGCACTGCCTGTACTTCAGGACTGTACCGATTCTCTCTGCTTGCCTCTACCCCCTTTCCTCTTGCAGCAGGGCTTCTGCCCGCCCCCACTCTGCTGTTGACGCTCAGAGTCACCGAGCCTGGGTGGCCCCCGTTCTCTACACCGTCAGTCACTGTAGTTCTGGGTGAACGCCCCCCCCTTTTTGCCTTTTAAATTCCTATCTTGGCTTTGGAAACACGATGCTGTCTTGGTCCTCTTACCTCCTTAGTGGTTCCTTTCCTTCTTTCTTACGCTGCTCTCTAGCCTCCAATTGTAGAGGCTCCCCTAAAGCTCTTTGGCTCTATTAAGAGAGACACCTTAAGATGTACCAAATAATGTACAAGCTATTAGGTATAAAGTAAGCTGCAAGGGTATATTGAACACCATGGGTAATATAGCCAACGTTTTATAGTAACTATAAATGGAGTATAAGCTTTAAAAATTGTGACTCACTATATCGTACACCTGTAACTTATATGGTACATCAGCTATACTTCAATTTAAAAAAGACCAAAAAAAAAAGATCTACCAAATAATGAATAATGAAAAAAAATGATCTACCAAATAAACAGGATTATCACACTGATTCTTGTGTGTTGTCAAGTCATTCTTACTAAGAACCCTGTGGCTCTTTCTCAGACAGAAATTGTACATATTACAATAGGAGAAGACATATGTCTTTTGCTAAATTCCTGTGAGAAGTCTCTCTCGGACCAAGAATTTTGCTTGTTTTCTATTTACTGTTTCAAACAGCGAATGTAAGGGAATTGTCCCTTTGTGCCTCAGCTGGGAGGTGACAGTTGAGCCCCAAATAGGAAATGAGCTGTGGTTGAATGTCACCAAGAGCAGATTCTTTCTGCCCCAGGAGAGGACATAAAAAGGCTTAAGAACACTTAACTTCCTAGAACGTGTCACGAGTCATGGCTAAGAGTGTCCCCCCCATCTCAGAGTGAGCTGCACCCACCGGGGGGCAGGAGTGCCTGGGCGTGACATTGGAAAACGGGGTAAGAGGGAAGCAAGGGGCCCGCTGATTTGTCTCAGTGTTCCAACACTTCGTCTCGTTAGGAGCTCACAGAGTCGGTGCTCTTTGGGCAGCTCCTGAAGCAGTTCTGCGTCCCTGTGGCCTCGCTCCGGGGTGGGCTCACGTCTCTTCCACTGAAGCTGGCAGGCAGCTCCTGTGTCCAGAGCTGCAGTCCTGCCTTCTTCTCCTAAGTCATAATCCTCATCTTGGGAGTCTCCTCAGTATCTTCACACAGATGTCCTGTGGGCACTAGGCACCCAGCATACCCAATACTGATTCATCATCTTCCCCTGAAACCCCAAACCGGTTCCTCTTTCTGACTTTCTAAGCGTAGTGCAGAATATCGCCTGGGTTTGCTGATCTCTGATCTCCAGCCCAGGATGCTGCTGGCACACCAGTGTGTGGTCTCTACGGTGCAGATGACTGGCAAGAGGGGGCCTCTCTGGGCAGCTGAAATCCTCCTGGTCTGCCTTTGAGCCAGGGCCCGAAGGCTTGGTCAGCAGAGCAGTGCTGGGCTTTCGCCACCGTTGAACCCTTAACCAGACCTTTATACGGGGCACAAAATCCACAGCCGTACTCCCCGGCCCCAACCAATCTTCCCCTCTTCTCCATTACAGGCTCTCCTGGCAGGTTACTTTGCCCCCTAGTCAGTTCTAATCTCCTTGTGTTCCTATACAGCAGAGCAAACAAATGAAACTCCCACTGTATCCAGAAAAATGCCTAAACACTTGAATCAGTCACTTACGGGCATTCATATGATTTCTTTCTCTGTTGCCGTCCCTTTGTTGTTCATTGAAATTCCCTTCTCCTGTGGTTTGCCACATTCTACTTCCTATTATATTTGCAAATTTATTTCCCCTTTTAGGATATAAGCACCTTGAAGGTAGACGAAGTACCTTAGCCCTCTTTCCATCCTCTCACAACCTAATTCAGTGCCTTGCATGTACAAGTCTCTTACCAATGTATGTTGAATAACCAGCTTCCCATGCTTTCTTGCGTGGACTTTCTCTAACGGTGGGAGCTGCCCCCTTTTGGCCATCCAAGTGGAGCACGGCCTTGAGAAGTCACCGCTGCACTGTCTGTGCACCTTGGGGAAGTTATTCGGTCTCTCCAAGGCTCAGTTTCTTGTCGTTAGTGGGGATAATACTTATACCTGTCTCAGAGTGTGACTGTGAGAATTAAATGACTTAATTCATGTAAAATCCTGAGATAATGAGCTGCACTCCAGTGATAGTTTCTATCCTAATAATCCTAATAATAATGATGATGATGATGTTGTTGTTTTTATCATCATCATCCAGGTTCCCAGCACTAAAGCCAAGTCAAAAGGTAATGTTAGGCTATAAGCGAGTCTGAGTGTGACCACCTAGACCTGAGTTTCTGTTGTTGTTGTCTTTAAGACTAAATCAGCCTTTTTCATTATGAGTATAACACATTTATTCCTTGGCATAACAAAGTTGAATATATTTCAGCTATTTCATATTGAAGGTGTACATTTCCCTGTATGAATTCAAATGCTAAGCTTACCTGTCCTCTGTTAGGTGGTTTACGTTACATCTGGAAAACCTTTATTCCCCTTTGCAGATATGGTGTTGGTCCTGCCACAGCGGATGTGCCCTTTTGAAAATGTCAGCACTGCCCAAAGAACAGGATGATGGCATTTTACAAATCCAAAAGAACTTCTTGGATGGGTCGGTACTGTTGTACATTTTGTTATCGTTTAGTTAGCTCAGTTTTTGTTTTCTGAGAAGCAGGGAACAGTTCTTGGTAGTTGGTCCATTTCAGTTTACCTGCTGATAAAGCACTTCGTGCTGGGGATACAGTTTAGAGTGGTCGTCTTTAATTTGAAAGGAGTGAGTGTAACATAATCATGAAGCACCTCAGCTGCATTGTGTTTAGAGATGCACGCTGAAGCATTTAGGGGGAAGTGGCATGATTTCTGTAATGTTGACAGCTGTCAAATCTAGGTCAAGGTATATGTCACTGTGTTATTCTTTTCTGCTTTTCTGCATGTTTGAAAATTTTCAAAATTAAAAGTTTAAAAAAAAAAACTAAACTGGATGAATTTAAAAACAGAAAAGGAGTAGACTTTGGAGTTAAATTGCCTTGGTTCAAATCCTGGCTCTTTCAGGTGATAAACTTCGTAATCTTGGGCCGGGTGGCTCTGCCCCTTGTTCCTGCATCCCCACCTCTGCTGGCTGGGAGCGGCAGCGGGCAGTAGTTGCCTCGTTGGGGAGGATTCAGTGGGAGCTCTTCACACAGACCTGGGCGCCCAGGAAGTGCTCAGGAAAAACGAACTCTTTCTAACTCATGCCTGCTCTTCTAATCTCTTGTTACTTTTTGTTACCTAGAATTTATAAGACCATCCACAGGCCACCCTATGAAATTGTTAAAACTGAAGACCTGTCAAGCAACTTCCTATCCCTGCAGGAAATCCAGACGGCCTACTCTAAATTTAAACAGCTGTTTCTGATAGGTGAGAAGAATGCCGAGCAAAAACTTTCTGTCAGATTCGGAAAGACATGCCGCGTGGATCAGGTGAAAGTCGGTGCCATTCCCCTGGGTTCCTCATGGCTGTACACAGAGGTTCCCGGCCGTGAGGGTTGGTGTCACGGAGCGGAGGGGCCAGTCACCACGGGGCCAGCTGCCCTCGGTACACTTGCTGCCACCATTTTGCTCCAGGTTCTTGCCCCACTGCCGCTTCTCAGGGCAGTGAACACAGAGCCACCATCCTCCTCTCTTCCTTCCCCAGTGGTGAGCGTTGAGCTTCTGCCTTAAAAGTTGTAGAACTTTGCAGTACCTGTATTCACTGACTATTTTGTAAAGTGAATCATCTGTTTGTTTTCCTTAGTGGCTTATTAAATGGACTCCTCCCTCACCAAGTGGAAATATTTTATTTTTTTTTTCCGATTGAGCATATATATATATATTTTTTTACAGTGTAAAAAACATTCAGTTAATCTGAAATGTGCAAAGTAGAAAATGAAATATGCCCATCCTAGCCACCACCACTTCCCTGCCCAGGCTGCCCAGTGTGAACAGTTCAGAACTTGAATCAGATGTAATCAAAGTCAGTCACCTGTTGATTCTCTTCACTCTTGAATGAGTGTTTACCCTCTGAGATTCGTCACACTTACAGGTAGCTTTTCCTAACTTTGACTTTTTAGCCTAGTGGTCTGATTTAGGATTTATTCATTCATTCAGTCAACATTTGTTGAATTTCCATTATACACACTAACTATGCTAGGCATTGGAGATAAAGATGAATATGACACCAAGAGAAACAAGTGTGTGCCTCTAATTAGAACACACTGTGCTGTGTGTTATAAAATAGGTTTATAAAAAGCAGGCACCTGGCGGAGAAGTAAGAAATTGCACTAGTTGATCCAGGACTGTGATTCTCCGCTTCTGTTTTCACCATCCAGTACTTTGCAGGGGTATCTGCCTTCTCAGTGATTTGAGTTTGCAGCTCTGACATGCAGTAGACTTCTGTAAAATGCAGGGCTTCTGTATCAGGTGGGTTGGGGGGATATTGTCTGGCGTGCAAGGTAAACGTGTGTGTTTAGTATTCCAGCAGAAGCTAGCTCTTCCCTCAGGCCTCCTTGGCATTAGGACGTGGCCTGTTGCATCTTCCTCTTCTAAGAGCAGCAGCTTGGATGTCGACTCTGTCTGCCTAAAGCATGTTACTCTCCTTGTTGAGTTACAGGGTGGACTGTGGCTTAGTATACAGATTGTAGGGCACTTTTTACTTGAGCAATGAAAGTCTATTTTTGACTGCCACACCATTCCAGGGGTTTACAGTTCAAAAACAATTTCAGCTGAAGGTTTGAAATGCTGGATTCTCAGCCTAGTCTGGGGCAGCGCCTCTGAACAGCACAGGTTTTACAGCAGAGGCACAGCTGCAAACAGTGCCTGACTTCTTTACTCTTTTTCCTTTTTTCAGATAATAGTACCGAATTTTGGGACACAGATATAAAATGGTTTTCCCTGCTGGAAAGTAGCAGCTGGCTTGACATAATCAGGTATTTCAAGGCATTGTTTTGCTCATGAATTACACAGTTCTCTAAGCCAAAGTAGTAGAGCAGGACTTCCCTGGTGGCACAGTGGTTAAGAATCCACCTGCCAAATGCAGGGGACACGGGTTCGAGAAGATCCCACATGCCGCGGAGCAACTAAGCCCATGTGCCACAACTACTGAGCCTGCACTCTAGAGCCCACGAGCCACAACTACTGAAGCCCGCGCGCCTAGAGCCCGCGCTCTGCAACAAGAGAAGCCACTGCAGTGAGAAGCCCGCGCACCGCAACAAAGAGTAGCCCCCGCTCGCCGCAATTGGAGAAAGCCCACGCTCAGCAACGAAGACCCAAGGCAGCCAGAAATTTTAAAAAAGTAGTAAAGCAACCTGACAAATAATTTAACTGTTTTCTATTTCACGGTTAAATATTCTTAGATCACATATTCTGTTCAGGGCTCAGCTGGATTTTACATTCATTATTTATTATTTCTGTGCACATCTGATAAGAATTTACAGACATGCTACCTGCCCATACAGAGATCTGCTCCCTAGACTATAGACTAGGGATGGGAAGCCTACAAAAAAGGGGACGTGGCAACCCAGCGTTCTAATTGAGCAGCAGCGCTCACCCCCAGGGAGGAATCTGGGGATTGAGAAGGGGAGGGATGCTGAGTTTCTGGGTTTGTTTTTGTTTTTGGCCGAGACCAGGGATGGAACCCACACCCTTGCAGTGAAAGTGCGGAGTCCTAACCACTAGACCTCCAGGGAATTCCCCGGATGCTGAGTTTTTACTGAATACCTTTTTAGAAGAATTCTGTATCTTATATGTCTCTTACCTATTAAAATTTTTTTTTACTGTCATTAATGCCAATTAGTTATTTTTCATTTCGGAGTTAAGTAGAGATTCCGAGAAAACAGAATTTTATTCCCTTTCCTACTTCCCATTTTGAATAGCTTCTGTCTGTTGCCCTTAAGTAGAGGAGAGGGCAAAGGGAGGCGCAAAACAGAAATGATGACAGGGTGAGAGCAGGGGAGAGAACAGCTCCGAAGAGAAGACTCCTCCCTTCCACCTAGCTCGGCATCCTCTCTCACATCTGCCTGGGAGTTTGTGCAAAGGAGCCTCAGGCCTCCAAAAACTTTTTAACAAATAGGTTTTGAGGAGCCTGCTGCATGTCCTTAATTTGAATATATAATTGCAAGTATTGTGATGAATGTTATAAAATAAAAGGACCTTTCCTTCCATGGGGTGGGTGGAGGTGAGTGTCCCTAAGCCGGTGAAGAGCCCAGGGAGGCGCCACTGCTGCAGGGTTACCAGTGCAGAAGGCAGAGCTGCTGGCAGCGGCAACAGTCTCAAACGGAGCTGCGTCGAGAGAGACAAAGGGGTTTCAGGGCACACTGGGCCTTTCCAGCCACACCAACACATTTAGCCCATGACCTTGAGTTAACAAAATGGACCTGCAGCACAGCCTCCAGATGTGGGCCTTTCTGGGTCTTACTGGGACTCACCAACACACTCAGATACGAATTTGCAATAAGTATTTCTAGTTTAGGAATCACGTAGCAACATTTTTACATCCATTTTGGAAATCCCTTCTGAAAATTTTGAGTTTCTAATAAGCAGATGAGTGTCTTGCAGTATCTGAATAGCATGAATGATAATTTGTTTCTTTTTGGAGATCTTCAGCATGAAACAGTAGATGAGATAGAAAACTGAAGATCATGTCAGATGCCTCTAAATTTCTTATTGTTCATGATACTAAGCTCAGGAACTAATATCTGTTTTTCTTGTCTCTCTCCTATGTAGACGCTGCCTGAAAAAAGCAATAGAGATTATAGAATGTCTAGAAGCGCAAAACATGAACGTTCTTCTTTTAGGTAATGTATTTAAAGCACAAAGGGTGGTTTCCTTTTTCCTTTACTTGGGATTCTGTTTCTGTATATAGAGATTTATGTAAGTGGAATTGTCTTGTAGAAGGAGCGAGCTGGTGTAGAAATCCTTCCATTCTTTTTACCCTGACCTTGGAATGCTCTGCTTTGGAGTTCATTGTTATAGTTTAAAAATAAATTCTTTCACTTGGAACTCGGCAGACCTATTCGCAGCCCAAGAAGGAATTGTTTGGTATCTTTACCAAAGCTCACATTTCCTCATATTTTGAGGTTTTGTTTTATATTAACTCAAAGTTAAAATCTTTGGATGATCGTTTTTGTATGAAGAGACCCATGGATGGTTTAATTGTTATTTTTACATCTTTGTGTCTGACAACTTCGTGCAGTTGCCACCACGATTGGTGTGGACCGCGATTCCCTTTTCTTCCGTGGACTTAACTTCCTGTACATGTGGACAGGATATACACACCCAGAATGTGTAAAAGAAGTGTAAACCTCATGCAACAAAGATTGTTGGTGGAATTGGTTAGATCTGAGCTAAAATATTATCTGCTGTTTTGAATATTTAAAGTTTCTTATAGCCCCATGCTTTACATTAAGTAGACTGTCTCATGCTTTCATCCCCTCAGGCTTTTATCATTTTTCTGACACTCTCCATGACTGCTAGAATTTAGCTTCTGTGAGCAGACTGGAAATGTGTCCACCTGTGATTTCTGTACCTTCTGACTTAAATTTTAATACATGCACTGAGCACCTCCCATGTACAGAGCTCTATGCCTCTGCCTTCTAGAAGTTTGAGAGAGCAGGCCTAAGGGTGTTATTGAAAAAGATCTAATTAACAATGGCAGAACAGAGTACTGAGTAACTGGTGAAAAGGAGGGATGAAGATTGGGGGGCTGAGAGGTGCAACTACCCAGGGCCAGACTGCACCAATCCCAGAGTTGCGTAGAATGAAATGGGGATCTTTAGCGGGTGAGGCTGAGCTCTCCTCACTCCACGAAGGACTGCTGAGTTGTACCTCTGAAGTCTCATTCTCTAGCTGCTCTTCCTAGGACTCGCATGTGTACTGTTAACACCCTTCATACGCAAGAAGGAAGATTCTCTTAAAAAATGAAACTTGTTTTGGAAGGTGATAGCACAAGAAAGACAAATATAAAAATCTGCTTCTTCTGAACCCATGTGTCCCCATTGTTTAGGCTTGTTTCCTGGAGGAGAAGTAGGAGCACAGTGTAAGCGTGGCTCTGTAGTGCTTCGTGACCCCGGGGTCAGGAGGAGAGTTTAACAGTGCAAACACCTCCCTACGTAGAATTCGTTCTGAAGTTTCTCTAAACCCACTGCTACCAGCACCATTGTCCTCGTGGACATTTTAAAATAACACCTTGAGTTGCACTTCTTGTGTAAAGTAGAAACCACAGGGCTGTAGACCTTGACTTTTAGGACCTTAAAACTAAGACAAATGCACGGATGTAGATGTATGTTTTTATTTGCTATGAGTCATTTATGGTGAACCGGGATGTGAGCAGAATTTTCATCGTGTGGTTTTGTACCGTGCACCCCAGGGGTGGGCACATGGCTTATACTTACTGTGGAGAGTTTCTCCTCTAGGCTAGGCAGAAAGAAGCGGGCCCCTCTGTGCTCCCAGACAGAAATGGAAAGAGCCGTAGAGCTGAGAATCAGAGCATTTTGGTGCAATCCAGGAATGCTACCCTTTCTCCGAAGCAGAGGTAGTGGAGGAAAGGTGGCTGAGAAGCAGTTTTGCCTTGGAACAATGAGTTCAGTGATGGAGACCCTGACACACCAGCCGGAAGGGTTTTGAACTTGGTCTGTGGAGCCCAGCGAGTGCCATGATGTATCTGATTGTGCCCTCATCGTGTAGCACATTTGGACCCCACATTCTGACAGTGGGTTTGCCATGCTGCATTTATTCATCAGTAACCAATCCATCTTTAGTGCCAGTGTGTGCTGGAACCAGTGCCAGCCAGGCTAGAAGCTATTTGTCTCTCAATCTGAAAACATTACTGTTTTTTCCCCACTGGCCCTGGCCTTTGGAGAATTAGCGCTTGACCGTCAGTGGGAGGCGCTGGTGTTGAGGCCCCTGCTGTTACCTGTGCCTGTGCGAGCCCTCTGCAGCTCTTTAACACTTGGTACCCTCCTTCCTCTCCGCGCTGCTGCTGGGCCTCCCTCCACCCCAGAGGAGAACGCTTCCGACCTCTGCTGCCTCATTTCCTCTCTGGTGCAAGTGATGATGGACCCCCACTGTCGAACCAGGTTCGGTTTCCAGAGCCTTGTCCAGAAGGAGTGGATCGTGGGCGGACACTGCTTCCTGGACCGCTGCAACCATCTACGTCAGAGTGACAAGGAGGAGGTGAGTGTCCCCATCACAGACCCGGCAGCCATGGGGAAGCAGAGCCCCGTCTCTTCATTCATCTGTCTTCCGACCGAGGGCTCCTGCCTGCAAAGTGCTCGCCTTTTAGGGGCTTGTCAGGAAGGCTGAGGTCAGTGCACTGCTAGATGCCTTTCAATGCTTGAAACACTATTGAAACTCTTCCCAGGGGAGAGGGGTGTTTATTAACAGGTGTGTTCAGAGTCTTCTCTTCTAAATTGTGTACCCCAGGGGGCTATTATATTTCATGGTGGAAGTAATACTGATTTGTAAAACTTAAATAAAAATGAACTCAGTGAGAGAGACTCCCACAGTTTCTGTTAATTTAGTCTTTGCAAAAAAAAAAATGAACATTTAGGGTACAAGTTTCCTACAGAAAATACATAATAACGCAAAGTAAATTTTCCTTGCAGTAAACCCTTTCAAAATAAAGCACAGGGTTATGTGAATGCTATCCAGTACCAGGGCCTTCGCCATGGTAGCTGCAGGTCTGGGCCTCTGAATTCAAGCACTGGAGAGTTAGTGTTACAGTTCAGTTAGTGAAAATGAGCCCCCCAGGTTGGGGTGTACTTGTCTAGGTTACAGCGGTGCAAACTCCTTTGGCTGCATTATTAACGACTGTGGAAAGAAAAATGAAAACAGGTGAACTTTAATTAGATCACCTGCAGAGGTAACGTATGCTAGCAGGGCGACTGGTGGTTTTTCTTACCCCAGGTAATAAGCACGTCTGTCTGCGGTGCTGGACAGCTTGACACAGCGGCTGTGGAAACAGAGACGTGGCTCTTGCCCATAAGGGCTTGGTGTGTCCTGGGAGACCCAGCCCCCTCTCACTAGGCCTGCAGTTTCTTTCAGGACAGTTCTGTACTCATCTGTGTCCCATTGGGCTGAATGGACATCACCATCTTTCAGTCTTGAAAGGGACCTTGCGTTTCTGAGATACTAATTTGAAAGGTTAATGGGACTCAAATAACATGACGGGCAGAAAGAGCTGATACTGTGTGGGGAAGAGTGTGCTTTTGTATATCTCGTATAGTTTGTATATCTTGAGAAAAGGGGGACTGACAGGCACCGTGTCTAGTGGAGCAAGAGCCCGAGAGCAGATCAGGTCTGTTTACCCAGTGCTGGGAGGAGTCACCCGTACTTTGTGAGCCCATTTCCCTGACTGTACAATGAGGTCCAAACATTTTACGCTCTATTTAAGTATGCTCTTGAACATAAAATGAGGTGTGAAATAAAGTTGCCCATGTAGACCTTTCTTTTCATCTCAACACTGACATACTGGAGTTTTGATAGAAAACGGGGTGGTCTACTTTGTGATGTAATTGACACGGCACTGGACTTTGATTCAAGAGCTGGCTTCCGGGCTTCCCTGGTGGTGCAGTGGTTGAGAGTCCGCCTGCAGATGCAGGGGACACGGGTTCGTGCCCCGGTCTGGGAAGATCCCACATGCCGCGGAGTGGCTGGGCCCGTGAGCCATGGCCGCTGAGCCTGCGCTTCCGGAGCCTGTGCTCCGCAACGGGAGAGGCCGCAGCAGTGAGAGGCCCGCGTACTGCAAAAAAAAAAAAAGAGCTGGCTTCCCAGCTCCCGCCTCTCAGGAGCTGTGTGTGAGACCTTGGCCAAGCTCGGGAAGGGAGAGACTGTGACGTGGCCTGTCCACCTGACAGGGTCACTGGTGATTGGACAAGGAGTAGTTGGGGATGACAAGGCACCCTCGAAAACTCTCATCTCTGCTATTAGAGGGCTTGCCTCTGAAGCTAATAAAAGAGGCCATCGCTTAAAAAAGTGCATTTGTGAAAAATGTTGGAAACTCATTTTTGCTGCTTCTGCCTTCTCTCCCGTCCTTTTTCTCTTCTGCGCCCTCATTGTCAGGGGTGTGGAGAAGGGAGTATCCACAGTATTTGAAGTAATTGAGTAGTATTTCTTTGTAACAGAGTGCTACTAATGAGAAGAGTGGAATTCTTCTGTGGGGAACAGCATTTCATTTGTTGAGGTTCAGAGCTACTGTTCCCTGTTACCAGGATCAGTTGCAAGTGCTCATCTGTCAGTGCTGATTGACAAGGAGATTTTTACATCATCTCAGGAATGTCTTTCACGCAGAGAGGTCCTGCCAAGTCCTGATGTTAATCCACGGGTGTGTGGTTTCAGTTGACCATATTTATCGCTGGGAATGGGATGGAGTTGAGAATGTGAATCGCCTGGAATGCGTTTCCCAGAGAATATAGTGCCCGGGAGAGGTTATTCCCCAGCTGTCGAGGTGGCTGCCCCGAACCCAGGACCGCCGGTGCCCCTCAGTCACGTGTATCTCGTTTTCACGTAGGTTCCCGTGTTCCTGCTCTTCTTAGACTGTGTCTGGCAGCTGGTGCACCAGCATCCCCCAGCGTTTGAGTTCACGGAGACGTACCTGACCGTTTTGTCGGATAGCCTGTACATACCTATCTTTAGCACCTTCTTCTTCAATTCGCCTCATCAGAAAGATACAAACATGGTAAGAGTCCCTCTTAGGAACCTGTGTATTGAAGAAGCCAGGTCTCACAGGTAGGGTGCAAGAAGATTGATGATAAAAATGATAATTTTGTAACAGTGATTATATGCTGGGCCCTGTTCTGAGTGCTTTCCGGGTATTGATATTTAATCCTCAAGCACCCTGTGGGTCTGAATTATTATTATCCCTGAGGAGCTGAGGCACTGAGACAGTGAGTAACTCGCCCCAGGTCACATGGTAAATATTGGAGCCGGGAGCAAGTGTCAGAGCCAGGAATGAAGCAGATTAAAAGTTGTCTTTGTGAACAGGTCAGATGCCTTCTCTTCCACTTGCCCGATGCCTGGAGTGACTCTGAAGAGAGCTGTGGCGGAGCAGGGAAGCTAGGCTTTCACTTTCCGTCTTAAACGCCTTTAGTCTCCCTTGAGGCCACGCTCCCAGGGCCTTAAGTCTGCGCCATCGGTGCTCTGACCGGCCCTCTGGGGGCCTCGGGGTTTGCTGGAGCTGGCCCTCCAGTGGGATTTTACCAGGCTCCACTCACACAGCCTCGCTGCTCACCAGCTTCGTGACCTCAGGCGGTCACTTCCATTTTCTGAGCCTCAGTTTCCCCAAAGGTGAATTGGAAAACTAGGAGTGACCTCACAAGGGTGCTGTCCTGGGAGACCGCGGCTGGCATGCGGCCCGCTGGAAGCAGCGCGTCCTGCCCCTCCCCACGCAGAGCCATTAGTGCAGTGAGCAGCCCCTGGAAGGCTGGCTCTCAGGGCAGGCGGGGCGCGCCTTCCTGGGGCCCGTCTCCAGCGCCGTGTTTGCTTTCCTCAGCCCCGCTGGAAGCGCCGTGACCTGTGCTTGTTTTGGCAGGGCCGGGAAGGCCAGGGCGCACAAAGCAGGCCTTTGAATCTCCTCACCGTGTGGGACTGGTCTGTGCAGTTCGAACCCAAAGCCCAGACGTTGCTCAAAAACCCTCTTTACGTGGAAAAGCCGAAACTGGACAAAGGCCAGCGGAAAGGAACGCATTTCAAAGTAAGATGTGCACATGTCTAACCCCCTTCGTCTGCGCAGAGATCCCCATGTCTGTAAGGATGCGAGATACACGGACACAGTCTGCAGTCGAGATCGTGACGGGCAGATTGTCAGGGCCCCTGAGAATCCTTTGCCTTCAGCAGGCCAGCGTCTGTCCTGATGAGACGTAGTCATTAGCTGAGTGTCGCCGGGGCTGCTGCGTGGAGTCGAGCATCTCGCCCCTGCCCGCGTGCGGTTGGTAGAGTAGAGGGGACGGCGATCACGGTGTGGGCTCTACTGTGCCGTCTGTACCGGTTCACATCTTTAATAGCCAGGCCTCTCTTCACGCTAACAATGGTGTTTGCGACTAACGTGTTCTGTCAGGGGCCACAAAGTCTCTGGCACAACTTCCCGCATGCTGTTGGAGCTCGAAAACAGCCACAGATGCCCCGTAAGCAGACAGGCCTGGCTGTGTTCCAGTATTTACAAAAGCAGGCACCAGGCCAGATTGGGCCCGCGGGCTGTTGTTTGCAGACCTGGGCTGAAAACGACAGGCATCAAATTATTTGGGCCTCCCTTTAGATGTTTGTTCCTGACCTTACTAGTTATTAACCCCGACGCTCCCTGGGTGAGGCGTGATTTACATGGCATTTCCCGTTCAGTCTCCTGACCTGGACCCCCTGCCAGCCCCCCGACCCCATGAAAGGGAGAGCGGGGTGGCCAGTGGTGGCCAGTCACAAGTTGGTGCGCGTCACTGCCTTCTCCACCGCCATCCTTCTGATCCCGCCATCCCACGGGGCTCCTGGGAGCCCAGCCCGTCCTGCTGTGGGAGCTGGCTCCGTTCTAAAGGGGCTTGGGGACCCAGGTGAGCCAAAGCCAGCACTCGCAGAAGGCACAGCTGCTGGATAACTTAGAGCTGATGCTTCGCCCTTCAAGGGTCCTCAGGCCCAGGCTGGGTGTTTGCCCTCCTGGCTCAACCTCTTTCCTGTCTGTTGGGCCAGAACTGCCCTGCGCTCCAGAACGGTTTGGCCGGAGGTCAGTTTTTGTCAGCGTGCTGTGCCCCCTGGTGGCCGCACACACACTTCCCGCCTGGTCAGGATTGCAGAGCTGCCCCAGGCCCTCAGAGACTCAGAGACGGAAGGGAGGAAATAAAAGCTCCACTCGGTAAGACCAGAGTCCATTTCTCTGCCCAGGCCCCGTTGTTCTAAGTGTCCCTTCTTGTAGATGGGAGCAGAGGACCTAGGTTCCAGGAGCTGGCCAGTGGGAGAGACTTAAGCTGCAGGGTTGGGGCATCTCGGCTTGTACTAGCTAATGCAGAGCTGGCGCTGGGCCAACGAGGACCTGTGAAGCCGTTTGGTGAGGCATCTGGGCGTCAGGCTCGGGGCCTCTTGTTGAGTGGACAGGTGACCTTGGAGTAGTTCTGTAGAGACCAAAGAGCCGTGGCCGGCCAGCACGATGCACTGCCCTGGGAATTACCACTCGTGACCACGGGGTCCACTCAGGTGTGGGGTCCCAGCCTCAGCCCTAGGCCTTGACCAGGCTCTGGGGGCACAGTGCTGTTCACACCTGGCCTGTCTGGAACGCTCCGTTCACTTAGGGCTTCAGAGAGGGGCTTGCAAGACAAGGAGAGCTCTGTTAAGAGTCCAGGCTCTGGAGCCAGACTGTGGTCGTGAAACCACGTCTGGCACTTGGTAGCTGGGGCCTTTGCAGTTACTTAACCTCTGTGCCTTAGTTTTCTCATCTGTAAAATGGGGGCAGTAATAGTGACTTTGAGAACTGGGTAAGTGGTTGCACGTTAAGCGCTGAGCACAGAACCCGGTAGGCAGTGAACACTCTGTGGCTGTTAGGTTCCACCTGCTTCCCCTGATCCCTGACTCACCTGGATCACTGGAGAGAAGAGGCCGGCCCCCGACTCCTGGCCTTCGGCTCTCCTGCCCCCAGATGGAAAGTCAAAAATCCTGGTCATCTCTGACTTGGGGTATTGTGAATGGTTTTGCTTTCTACTTTGTATTTTTATTGTTGTTCTACATTCCATAATAAGGAAATATTTTTTATAAGGAAGAACCACTGGCAGGAGCATGTTAGAGAGTTAGGAGACTAGCCCCAGAATAAAACTTCTATCTATTCTGATTTCAAATGGATACCTCAGGGGCAGAAGAGCTGGAGAGAAACAGCTTCTCCTCAGCTTTTTACCTTCTCCTTTGGGCACCAGGGGTCCCTCGTAACCGTCTTGACCATCTTCACAGCCCTTTCGCAGTGCATCCCCAAACGCAACACGTTGCTTTGGCTGCAGGTGGAGTTACCGACGAGGGCAAAAGTGTAAATGCTCTCACGTTTTCTACTCCGTGCAGCTCATCAGAGAGGCACATCCAGCCTGCTTAGCCAGTCCTCAGGTTTCTTTTGCTCCCGTCTGTCTCTGTCCAGAATCTTTTTGACTTAGGCTTGACCTCCCACTGGATGCCCAGTAGCCTACAAGTTAAGCCTACACATTATTTCAGTGGAGTGACAGGCTCTTCAGGTTGTCGGCAGCACTTCCTCACAGGTGGCGTTCAGACTATTGTGAAAGCGAACACTGTAAATTTCTCAAAGAAGAAACATATTGCTCCTTTCAAAAATGAATAGGCCTCATCCCCAATACTCCCCTAAATCATCATCAGCCTATCTTAACTTAAGCTCGTCCTTCACAAGTACTTAACGCCCCGCACCTGGTTTCACCCATTTGTTTATACACCCAGTGTGCACCTGACACGTGCATTGTGGCATAAACAAGAAACCCCCGCCCGCCGCTGCTTTCTCTCTGCGTGTGATAGCATTGCAATGAACTTACGTTCACGGGGCAGTTCTGATATCTCATGACTTCTGTTAAAGCAGGATTCTGCCTTGATGGGAGCAGCTGTCACCGTGCTGTCCAGCTAACCAGAGATTTTTATTTGTGTTTTCTCTCAAAGCATCAACGACAACTTTCTTTGCCACTCACCCAATCTAAATCATCTCCCAAAAGAGGATTTTTCAGGGAAGAAACAGATCATTTAATTAAAAACCTTCTGGGCAAGAGAATTAGCAAACTGATTAATTCCTCTGAGGAGCTGCAGGACAACTTCCGAGAGTTCTACGACAGCTGGCGCAGCAAGCCCCCCAACTACCACGGGCTACTGCTGCCTCACATCGAGGGGCCAGAGATCAAAGTGTGGGCCCAGCGCTACTTGCGGTGGATTCCAGAGGCCCAAATCCTGGGTGGTGGCAGAGTGGCCACCCTGAGCAAACTCTTGGAGACGATGGAGGAAGTCCAGCGCCTACAGGAGAAAATCGAGGAGAGACACCACAGCCAGGAGGCCCTCCAGGCAGAGGCCGCCTCGGTGCTGAGGACCTCGGCCCGCCTGTCCTCCTTGTTCCCTTTTGCGCTGCTGCAGCGCCATTCCTCCAAGCCAGTCCTGCCCACCAGCGGGTGGAAAGCTCTGGGAGATGAAGAAGACTTGGCCAAGCGAGAAGATGAGTTTGTGGATCTAGGGGATGTGTGACTGGTCTGCTCAGTGGAGGTAAGAGAGGCGTGTCACAGGCTGAGGCAGGAGCCAGACACGTCTGCTGTCTGCATCGGGCTGTCACGCTGAAGCTGACTGCTGGGAGGAAGCCTGGGCCTTCAGGAAAAGAGCTGGTCCTCATTTCCCTCTCCAACCCCCATGATTCTGAAAGACTATGCAATTAAAACCATAGCTCTAGTATTATTAGTGGAAAGGAGTTACTGCTTGACCCATAATACAACTGTGGCCAGTGTCTTCTGCATTAGTATCATACGGACCCTGCGGTAGCTGGTTTACTACTTAGAAAGGGCCTTGGTAAGATGTGCCTGGACTCCATACTGTCTTCAGATCTTTGCTGTGCCAGCGTGATTTATCCAGTCGTCGGGAGTAGTAAGTGTCTCTCTAGCCCATCTCGGCTTGGAACAAGTCCAACTTTACCTGATGTGTGTGTGGCGAGTTGAGAGATTCAAACAGAGGCGTTTAGATGTATGGCCTTCACTTCCAAACCTTAGCGTCTTTCCTTTCTGCGTCCTCTTGCCACGCGTGTCACCATCCTGACGTTTCCGAGCATCCTCAGGCTGTGTCACTTTATGTGGGACGGGGGACTGGCTCGGGGGCCGGCAGCCCCGGGTCCCCCGCCTGCTCTGTACCACTCGCCACTGCCCCTGCACGCTGCCCACCTTGGTGCACGTGGTCCCGGGATCTTGCTGCTAAACCTTTTGGGCAAACTGGGGGACTCCCTTTGGTTTGCCCAGAAGAGCTTCCACTTTTCTGGAGGCGTGCAGTGTTTGAAAGCAGTTGCTTTGCCTTTTCCTAATAGCACGCCGGGGCGTCAAGCGTCTGTGCCCGCCGTCCTCAGGACGGTTTCCCCAGATTCTGTTACCTTATAGACTGATGAGTAGGATCGCTGTTGAGCGTAGCTTTCATAGGGAAGCGGTCAAGCAGAAATATCAGAAGTGATGGTGATCACATAGTACCTCAGCGATTTAAAAAGCCATAGAAGAAACTTGACTATGCCTGGTAACCTTCCTGGATCTGCTGTCTAAATGATATATATTTTTTAAATGCAGGAAAGTACACTTTGTAAGGACCAGTTTTTTCATTCTCCATGGAACCCTGTTCAATTCCACAAAAGGAAGGGGAAAGAAATTATCTCGCATTAGAATGTTTCCTATCGAAAGTTTGCCTTTTATATCCATTCGTTCTCCAGTGTAGATCCCAATTTGAATATTGCCTGTTTAGAAAAACTTTCAGTTGCTTAAGGGCAATAAGAAATTTTGAAACTATTGACAAAGAGGAGTTTCTCGGTTTGCACTGAATCGTCTTTTGTACACACAAGAAATTGCTTTGCAGTCCTCCCCACGCCATGGCAGTGGAGATTGAGGGGAGGGTAGGATTCATGCATCTGGGGCCAAACACATGCCCAGTCTTGGTTGCCTTAAGAGTCTCACTAGTAAGGTCAGTGTTGGGCTTGCAGTGGGGATTTTAAAATGACCCTAGTTCGTTGGCTACCTTCTTGTACGTTCTGTGGGCCTTCTTAAACTAGCGCTAACCTCCCTTCCCTGCCCCACTGCCTCCCAGGTACACTATGGAGCTAACTAGTTTTGTTACCATATTATAATGGGAATATTTATACAGTAGCCTCTTCAGTCTTAAGATCTTAGTAATTTTCATTCCAAAAATGCCTGGTGTGATGCTTTACACTCCATAAGGTGTGGTTTAAAGGCACAAGGTCACGGCCCCTGTCATAGTGGTTGAATGTGCATTGAAATATTTTTCTATGATTTTTTTTTTATAAAATTACGATAGAAAAATAAGCTGTTGTAACACGTAAGGTCATGACAGTTTATGTATTTATATTTGAAATCAGATTTCTATAAAGCCGTATTTGTGTACAGGATTCTCAGTGGGTTTATATATTGTGACGTTTTTATTCAAGATTGAGATGTGGATTATGCTTACCAGTAAAAGCTGAAATGAGACCATTTACTTTGTCTGAAATGCTGCACTGTGCACGTTTGGAAATGTACATTAACTGCCTGTATGTAATATCTTGAGTTTGTTTATACCTCCAAGTTTTTACACTGAAGATAAATTAGCTTTAATTACATTCAAAACGTTTTTTAAAAAAGGGAATAAGCTGTTGGGCTAAATCTGTATAAATGTGCTTTTTATTTTCTGGATGTACAATGAGAGTTTATACTCGTATTTCACTGCATCATATCCGATTGCAGAAATTAAAGCACAATTTACAATACTGTATTTGCTGTGGTGGATATAACATGGAATAATTACTTTCATTTAGTCAGTGTGTGTGTGTCTGTGGGTGGTCGATTGGTTGGTGGGTGGGTGGGAAACCAATAACCAAATAAAGATTTGGAATTTCAGGAGGAGATAAAATCCTGTGCCGAAAAATAAAATAGGGTAGGAGCCCTACAGGGTGAGTAAAGGGAAAAGGTTTTTTTAATCCCTGAAATTAAATATCACTGCCTCTTTGCTTTTGTGGGGATATGTAAAATGATGATTCTGTTATTTTGTGGCTGGAAGGGATCTGAGTTCAGTTAAACCATGGAAGAGAGAAGCCTTCGCTTTTCCTCCCGGAGAGGATAAGCACGCTGGCCTGGCTGTGATGGTGTGTACGAGTAGGATTTTGTTCCTCATTCGCCAGTTTAGCGTTTACTAGATTGAGACCTGTGACTTGTGGTGGTTGGGAAGTTCCTCCCTCCTCTGCCCTTTCCTGCCCGTGGCCCTCTCCCTCTCCATAGCCCTGCTCTGCTTGCCCTTCCCCTGCTGTCGGCCAGGTCCGGCCTCCTGTGCGGCAGAGCTGACTCTGAGCCATCCCTGGAACTTTATAAGCCCTCACTGCTGCCCCACGCCCTTCGGACGTGTCAGTTCTTTGATACTTGTATTAAACTCCCAAGTATTTAGCAGTTCTGGCTCTACAGGCTCGCAGACTCCAGTCCTGTTTTCCGCATTTGATAACTAGCTCTTGGACTTGGGATGACTCGGCTGTCTCTCTCTCCGGGTTTTACTTGTTCCTTGGTTTCCAGGTGAGGGTCGGGGAGGGACCGGAGGGCAGGGGAGGGGAAGAGTGGGGCATTTTCCATCCAGTGTGAAACAGGACTGTGGGGAGAGGTGGCTCCCGTTGAGAACAGACTCCTGGCTCGCCTGCCTTCGTGTCACCTCCTGTCCTGGAAGGTGAGTCGAGGGGCAGAGGGAGCCTGGACTCCAGCCTGATTTCCCAGCCCCTCCAATGGTTGTGGTCAACGTTGCTCAACAGGAGGAGAGGCTCCTCAGCTGTGCTTGTGCCCCCCTGGGCTCTAGAGCATTGGTGGAGCCCGCCCTGGGGCAGGACCACTGCAGGGACAGGGCCTGTAGTGACACAGCCTTCCACGTTGACCCTTCCAGCAACCTCCCCCAAACACACATACACTCTCTCGCCCTTAAAAATATTAGATGGGGATGGGAGACACAAGACCCTGTTTGTGCCGTGGGCTCCAGTGAAACCAGGGATCGTCCAAGGGCTTACACAGGAGAATGTTGACAACCAAGCTGGCCACTGGTAATATAAAATAAGTGGTGAAATGTCATTTATATATTGAACAGGAAAGTAATTTGTTAGAGTGATGGTTCTGTATCTTTAAAAACACAGACATCTTGGTCTCTTTTGTGGTTCAGGCCCAGGTTCTTTTAAATTCTTTTGTTTTTAAACTTCCTATTACACCGTCTGCCTTTAGCAGTTTCAGGATATGAAGTGTATAACCATATGGAAATATACACAGTAAGCTTTTGGCTTTCTTTTAGAAGAATCCAGTTTTGCTAGCCAGTCCAGCTTTTTTTAATAGTTGTTTGTTTTTTTTCTTTTAAATTTAGATGTGCATATTAGTTTTATGGAAGGCTGTGTGGCTTTTTTGTTTTTAGTCCCAGTCATTTTCCAAATGATCATCTTCACAGATGTTGGGGCCAGGCGAATGCAGGGCTTGCTTATCGCCAGCGCTGAAAGGGCACAGCGCGTGCCATTCCTGGGCTGGGAAGGAATGCAGAGGGGCCGCATTTCATCCCTCAGACTGACCTGAGGACCTCGGCCTGGAATGCACTGCGGTGCCTCAGGGAGAGTTGGACACAGCCCAAGCCAAACTACCTAGGATGAAAAGCAGTAGTTTTTCTGGGCTGAGGGTAGAGGTATGGGGACAGGGCTGGGCTGGGAAGGGGGCCCGAGGGCTTGTTCTGGAATGATGGTAGCATTCTACATCTTGATCAGCGTTTGGCTTGTACAGGTGTGTGCCAGAACTCGGTGAAAGTACATCTAAGCTGTGTTTCACTGTATTTAAATTGTACATTAAAAGAGAACTAGGCAAATATTGAACTCTAGTTGATGATACTGCCACCAAATTGTTTAGGGGGAAATGCTCTCTTGTCTGCATTTTACTTTGAATGGCACCAACAGTAAGAGGGATTAATGGTTGGGTAGAGGGACGGACATGGCTGGATATGCGATAAAGCAGGTATTAGCAAAATGTCAGTGATGTGATCTCGAGCTGGGTGTGTGGGAGTATGAGTATCCACAAAATTCCTTAAAGTTTGCTACGTTTGGAAGTTTTTACAATAAAATATTGGAAACATTTTTAAATAAACCCTTCAAGAGTTAATTCTAAACAGATGGGGAAAAACGTGCGTAGGAGTATATCCGTCTTTTATGGGAGAAGAGAAACCCTATCCTTATCAAACTACCTGGCCACCAGGAGGATATAATGGAACTCAGAGAAGGGACCAGAGTGTTCGTGTTCTCCCTCCCTTCCCTCCTCTGAGATTTTGACAGAGAAAGATGACTGCATCACAATTAGTGAGCAGTTAGTAGCTGTCACAGTACCTGCCCCCTTCTTCTGTTTCCATTGTCTCTGCGCCATCATTTTCTGTTGCCCGGATCATTATTCTAAACTCCATTTTCTCTGCTTTTGGTCCCTTCTCTCATGCTGCCCGTGAATCTTCCGAAAGTAGTCATGTGATTTTTTTTTCGGCCTGAAAACATGTAATAGGTGCATCCATTAGAACTCTGGGTTGCAATATCTTAAGCCAAAAAGAGGGATTGTGTGTGTTTGAAGGTGTAAGTCAGAGATGCTGTTGGGTCTTGGTTCCTGAAGCCCATGTAGTCTTTTCCGAGTGTTCTTTGCTGCTTCTGCTCTGCACACCAGCTTTCTCGTCTTTCCAGTCGATGAAGTGAGATGAAACTCCCACAGTAACTCTGTTTTCAAGAGGCCAGTCAGATTGAACTGTAATCTTGGTCGTATTCCACATCCTGGGCAGAGAGTCTAGGCCAGCCAGCTGTGGGGCAGGGTCTTCCTGTGGGACTCGGGCCACTCCTACCAGCTCTGAGTGTACTGGGCACTTGCCTTCCCAGCACAGACTGTGACAGCTACTAACTGCTCACTAATTGTGTTGCAGTCATCTTTCTCTGTCAAATTCTCAAATTTTGTCACATTAGGAATGTCACAATTCTTTTTTTTTTGAATTTTATTCATTTTTATATAGCAAATCCTTATTAATTATCCATTTTATACATATTAGGGTATACATGTCAATCCCAATCTCCCAATTCATCCCACCACCACCCCCACCCCACCACCACCACTTTCCCCCCTTGGTTGTCCATATGTTCTCTACATCTGTGTTTCTATTTCTGCCTTGCAAACCAGTTCATCTGTACCATTTTTCTAGGTTCCAAATATATGCATTAATACACGATATTTGTTTTTCTCTTCCTGACTTACTTCACTCTATGACAGCCTCTAGATCCATCCACGTCTCTACAAATGACCCAATTTCGTTCCTTTTTATGGCTGAGTAATATTCATTGTATATATATACCACATCTTTATCCATTCATCTGTCGATAGGCATTTAGGTTGCTTCCATGACCTAACTATTATAAATAGAGCTGCGATGAACATGTGGTACATGTGTCTTTTTGAATTATGGTTTTCTCTGGGTATATGCCCAGTAGTGGGATTGCTGGGTCATATGGTAATTCCGTTTTTAGTTTTTCAAGGAACCTCCCTACTCTTCTCCATATTGGCTGTATCAATGTACTTTCCCACCAACAGTGCAAGAGGGTTCCCTTTTCTCCACACCCTCTCCAGCATTTGTTGTTTATAGATTTTCTGATGATGCCCATTCTTACTGGTGTGAGGTGATACCTCACTGTAGTTTTGATTTGCATTTCTCTGCTAATTAGTGATGTTGAGCAGCTTTTCATGTGCTTCTTGCCCATCTGTATGTCTTCTTCAGAGAAATATCTATTTAGGTCTTCTGCCTATTTTTGGATTGGGTTGTTTGTCTTTTTAATATTGACCTGCATGAGCTGTTTATATATTTTGGAGATTAATCCTTTGTCTGTTGATTTGTTTGCAGATACTTTCTCCCATTGTGAGGGTTGTCTTTTCTTCCTGTTTGTAGTTTCCTTTGCTTTGCAAAAGCTTTTAAGTTTCATTAGGTCCCATTTATTTATTTTTGTTTTTATTTCCATTACTCTGGGAGGTGGGTCAAAAAAGATCTTGCTGTGATTTAGGTCAAAGAGTGTTCTTCCTATGTTTGCCTCTGAGAGTTTTATAGTGTCTGGTCCTACATTTAGGTCTCTAATACATTTTGAATTTATTTTTGTGTATGGTGTTAGGATGTGTTCTAATTTCATTCTTTTACATATAGCTCTCCAGTTTTCCCAGCACCACTTATTGAAGAGACTGTCTTTTCTCCATTGTATACCCTTGCCTCCTTTGTCACAGATTAGTTGACCATAGGTGCGTGGGTTTATCTCTGGGCTTTCTGTCCTGTTCCATTGATCTATATTTCTGTTTTTGTTCCAGTACCATATTGTCTTGATTTCTGTAGCTTTGTAGTATAGTCTGAAGTCAGGGAGTCTGATTCCTCCAGCTCCAAAACTATGTTGAATAATAGTGGCGACAGTGGACATCCTTGTCTTGTTCCTGATCTTAGAGGAAATGCTTTCAGTTTTTCACCGTTGAGAATGATGTTTGCTGTGGGTTTGTCGTATATGGCCTTTATTATGTTTAGGTAGATTCCCTCTATGCCCACTTTCTGGAGAGTTTCTATCATAAATGGGTGTTGAATTTTGTCAAAAGCTTTTTCTGCATCTATTGAGATGATCATATGGTTTTTATTCTCCAATTTGTTAATATGGTGTATCACATTGATTGATTTGCATATACTGAAGAATCCTTGCATCCCTAGAAAAATCCCCCTTGTTC